GGTATTAAGAATTATTTCTATTCTGACTCATTAACGTGACCTCGCAATGTGAAAAATAAGTACGTTATTTTGAGGCACCTCGGGGATATGTGTTTATTCACCTCGGCGCTGCGCGCCTCGGTGAGTAAATCATATATCCCCTCGTTGCTTCAAAATAACCTATACTTATTTCTATTACAGATACCATTGTTAGAAGTCCCTGGAGATATTGAAGCGGCAGTAAAACCTGACGAATGGATAAGCAGAACCATCAATGATTCAAAGGTATTTGTCATCAGCGTACGAGTAGAGACCGACTATCCATCGAGACGCACAATCACAATCATCATCCATCAAAACTAGGCCAGCGAGAACAATGCAATGGCTCTGAAAACGAATCACACCTTAAATATTTGGCTCATAGTTTCTCATTGCCGTACCTATACTACGCACGCTATCTTGACGAATGATTCGTCTGTTTATTGATAATATACACCAGGGTGCAGCGTTTTGCAAACGGTTCGCTCTTGTTCGCCTAGATAGATAATCGGTCATAACGGGGGAAAAGCGGTAACTGTAAATTTTGGAAAACCAATCGGATGGATTCAGTCAAAACAAAGTGTATAAAAATGCGAATCACATTGCAGAATATGTTGATACAAATATACAGAAAGCTATTACAAAAACACAAAACAAATCATGATAGTGAAACAAGTATGGAGTAATGTAAGAATTTAAGGTATTGTCAATGTCTGCTTTTGAAAGGCAAAGGAAAGACACAGGGAAAACGTTCATTAATGCCAGTGTCAATTATGGAAATGGGGCACATTTCGTGTCTTTTGCAGCTATCATTGCTTTCAAAAACGGGACAGAGGGCTCGAATTTTCATAAAAGTTTTATTAAAATGTCTGGTAACAGGCTCGTTAGCATCGTTGCCAATGACTGCACACCGATGCTCACCAAACATTGTCGTCAGTGGCGTAGCGCTCATTGGTTAGGGTTAGTCAGTTCAAAAACTAAGGGCCCCAACAGTTAGGGGCCCCCATCAGCCACAGTCTATCGCCCAGAAAATGCAGGTGAAGAATCAATGGGAAAATGCGAAATTAATAGTGCTACATAATAAAGCCTCCATCGACGACGGTAGCTGATTTTTTATGCCATCAAATTAAACAAAAGTTATTCATAAAAGTTGTTACATATGTTGGAGACTGTTATTGTTATTGTTATTGTTATTGTCATAGACACGGAATTTTCCAGAACATTCTATAAATATTCAATATAAATATAATATCTCAGTCAAACAATGACAACAGGGGCCCCCACACAGAATATGCCTAAGGGCCCCCTCTTCCTCCGTTACGCCACTGATTGTCTTAACTAGTACTGTCCACCCCTAGGGCAATATGGCATTAATGAACGTTTCTCCTATGTGTGGTATCTATATTTGTCTTTGCCTGTCAAAAGCGGACATTGGCAGTACTTGAAATTCTCACCTTATTTCATATATATTTTTTTGTATTTGTTGTAGTTTTCTGTGTGTTTGTATTAATATATTCTGTAATGTGATTCACATTTTTTGTTTGCACTTTGTTTTGACTTTACGTCACTGCGTCTTGGCGCACGATATATATGCTCGTTAAAAATCTGTTCGAAAAGTTGCATCACGCAGTTTGACGTAACACTGTTACAACTTGTTTACAAGATGTGAGATTATTGCAACGACGTAAAAAAATGTTAGCCAAATGGCCCAAATTTGTCCATTCAGACCTGTGATCACAATCTGTTGCCGCGTGGCGCTCAAAGGAGCTACGTCACTACATCCTGGCGCACGAAATGCTGGCAAACAATCTGTTAAAAAAATTTGGGAGATTGTTTTATTTGCATGACTTAGTTTGGTGTGCCTGTTTGATCTTTTCAAACTTTCATTTTTGTAGCAAGAATGTCCTCCATTGCTTAACTCGACGCTGGAAACAAAATTGAACAGTTCAGTTGGTTGTCAGATACCACTTATTGATCCATTTCATCCTTCCATAATGAACTTACTAAGTGATGTTCCTATGCCAAAGTGTTCGCAATTCAAGTCTTATGGAAAATTAGTCGACGGCAAAATACACTTTGTAGGTAGGCCTAATCATATTATGTGTCAGAAATGTTATTATCTTGTTTAAACTCGCTCTTCATTTTCCCATCACTTCATTTTCCCATAACCACATTGTTTTATCTATAGGTCATGTGATCAAACATGGCCAAGAAGCTTTGATTCAAGTTATATAGAACAGGTGGGAAAATTGTCGTCGCTGACCAAATTTATCGCGGCCGCTTTCTTTTTGCGAAGCAAAAATTGTGAAAACAACAAAAACACAGATTTCGCTACCCTGTTTCTCGTACTGCAGCAGAGAAAAAGAAAAGAAAGCTAGCCGACGTAAACGTTAATAAACGTTCATCAAGATCACAATTACTTGTCGCAATCGAGAAATTAGCAGTCAAGAATTCTTCGCTGAAACTTCCGAAAATTATGTTTCTTGCAAAATGTGTGTGTATTGATGGAATATTACTTGAAATGTGCAGTACATGCGTTTGTTGTCCAGGACAAAGTATAAATATTTGGTTTTTGAGTGATACTGTGCGCCAACTATCATCGTTAAATTTCAGTATGTGAGGTATTTTGCTAAAATTGCTTGTTTTTCACCTTAATTTTCTCATATATACAGATTGTGCCAATGAAATGTGATTAGGTCAGAAGATGTGCTTTTCTTTCTAGTTTTTGCTAATAGAATGTAAAGTCGCCTAAAAAATGAAGAAAGTGCTGAATTTTGGCAAGTTTCATGAGCAAGTGTGATTTATACGAAAAAGGTGACTCAGAAAATGAGCATCAGATTAAACATTTTACCATGTATTTTGCTATAAAGGTTTTAAAATATTATTTTTCGGTTTTCAAAGTATTTAAAAAACAAATAAACATAGCAATCAGATTTTTCTATGACCTCATTTCGAAGCGTAAACTTTGTATTATTTTTAAACACAATTCTTGCTCTTTCAAAATATTATATAAAACACGAATTTCGTCATGTTACAGGTTGTGCCAATGAAATATCGCTGTTTTACATTAAATTTCAAAGCATTTTTAAGTCGGTATTAAATTTCTTGGCTTTGTAAAAAATGAAGAAGTGTTAGTATTTTTGGTTTGAATTTCACATTTTATTGAAGCCATCAGACGACATTTTAAAAGGAAATTTTTTGCTCCGTTTTGTTTTGCATTGAAATAATCGATATAAATAATTTACATTGTAAAATATATGGCAATAGAGGAAATCAAAGTATTACTGCAACCTTTTTTGTTAGTGAGTCCAATTTTGTGGTGATTTGTGGCCCTAAACAGCTGCTGCAAAATTGTCCTTCGAATTTGAAGGCGATGCGGTCGGGCCGTCAATGATATAGCATAGGAATCCCGATAAATATAGTTGTAACAAATAAAAAGCGTTAAATTTGTCTAATTTTGAATAAATTTGCATTGTATTACCGTGTTTGACTCTTTTCAATCTTGCGCTGTGAATTCAGTGACGCAGGTAAATCGCGTATACGACGCATAAGTTATAGTTATTGAGTTATATAGTTATAGTTATTCTCAATAACTATAACTTATGCGTCGTATACGCGATTTACTTACGTCATTGAATTCACAGCGCAAGATTGAAAACAGTCAAAGCACGGTAATACAATGCAAATTTATTTAAAATTAGACAAATTTAACGTTTTTTATTTGTTACAACTATATTTATTTGGATTCCTATGATGATTAGCAGTTTACTTATAGTTCAATGGAAAAACCCGAGCAGTTTTCGTGCATGCTCAGTCAATTTTCCCACCTGTTGTTATATAGAGAATCAAATATTCATCACACTGCAAAAATTCATTTGGAATATTTTGACTCAAAAACTTGAGTAAATAATGCAACCATAGTGACTCAAATTTAGTTATTTTTTTAGTAAAGATTTACTTCAACTTGCTCATAAATGCAAGTAATTTTACTCAATATTTTGAGTCAAGGTAAGTGCATTACTTTACTCATGTCTTTGAGTCAAACTACGCAGGTTATTTTGCAGTGTATATATTCCGGCATGCATATAGTCAGTTACATTCTGCGGTGATTTGAAGGTGTCAATTAGAGCCACGTTTTCAACGATAATATAGAGGTTCAGATTTGACCACCGCTACCTGTACCATTAAGGGACCATCAACCAATCAGATGCGTTTGATATATTCGATCAACTAATCAGATGCGTACTAAGCCAGTTAGAGATAGTCGTTACGGTAGTGGAACTCAAGTCTAAACCTCTATATATTCATCAACTCGCGTCCTGCAACTTCTTAAAATTCCTGTTGATCCCGCCATTTTTCTAGCCCTTTTCTTCCCGTTTCCCGTTACCCGAATCAGGAAAGTTATCTTGCCTTCCTAGCTTTGTACATAGTTTTAGTTCTACTTCTTACCATCAAAGTCTCACAATTCCACCTGATAAAGAATTTGTTGCAACTGTTTTCATGACCTTTAGATTCGACAGTTATTTCTGCAAGTTATCGACGAATAGTGAGAAATGGAGATTTTAAATATACCCTAGGAGAAAGTTTACCAATACCATTGCTAAACACCACAGAGAAGATTACGGATGAGTTTATTGAAGTAGAGTACCAGCTCAAAGACGGGAAAAAGCCTCAAGAAAAAGAGATATTTATTCAGCCTGTGCCACACCAACACTTATTAAGTCGAAGTGCCCAAATTGAACCTGGAATACCGCTAAATATATTGATTGTTGGTGTTGATTCAATGTCCCATGGCAATGCCATACGAAAGTTACCGCAAGTGTATAAATACCTTAAAGACGAGTTAGGTTCAGTGATATTTAATGGACATTCTGTGGTAGGAGACGGGACCACGGACCAACTGGCCGCGATTTTAACTGGAACGAGCGAGACAGGACAATATGAGGCAAGACGTCATATTAAAAAAGCTCGTCCAGTTGATGGATGGACATGGATATATAAACAACTTAATGGTAACGTATTAATGTCAGAATATGCTTTTGGTCATCTCACTTGATTGAACTAATGTTAAAGGTTTTTGTGGATGGAAATTTCGAGGTCGGCTATATTGCGAGTCTGCGAGTTCGGGAGTTTGCGATCGAAGTTGCCAAGTTCATTTCTCATTTAAGGCACAGAGAGTCCATCCCGGGTCTTATTGAAGTTATGCATTAGAATTGCGTATGAAATATATAGCTCAGTGTTGAAGCCTGCAATTTACGGGCTGCGTGCGGGCTAACGCGCGCGTTGAATCAAATTGCAGGCTTCAACACTGAGCTATATTTTTCCCAGGTTAGCTATATTTTTCCCCAGAGCTATATTTTTTAACAAAGGTTTTATTACCTTTTGAAGGTTTAATCAATTTTTTTCAGAAAGAGGCTATCTAACTGGTTATTCCGGAGACAACCCAGGTATTGGTCCATTCAGTTACAGACTGATGGGATTTAAGGATTCACCTACAGATTTTTATCCCAGACCGTTTTATTCCATGGCTGAGAAGATATTGAAAGACAGTACCAGCAATAAATGCGTAGCTTCCAAGACTATATCAACAGTTCAGTTTGATTACATCCGAGAAGTCTTTGCAATGTTCAAAAATAAATTGAAATTCTTCTTTTCTTTCAACGGTAAGAGATCCGTGTTTATTATATTTCCTAACTAGAAATACCTGCATGCAACGACCCCTCTCCTATATTTTCCAAACATTGTTTTACCATGAAATATTCTTAATTACGCCAACATTGAGTGCAGGCTCACGTTGCTCGCGTTATGTCAGCCATTACAAAACGATAAAAAATAAATGAAATTTGAACAGTTTTAACCACAGCATTATGAGGTTTTTTCCGATACAATTTTCAAGAAATAAATTTAAATGATCATACAGGTTGCTAATGAAAATGATTTGCTTTCCTTTATTTTGAACTAGTCCACAAAAAATTAAAACAAGTTAATTATATTTAAGAAACTTTAGCATACAATGAATAGGAAAGCCGTGCATGTCATACAATTTTATATGACTAAACAAACTTACCCTATACTTCGGATTTCTCATACTTTATTTATTGAGTTTCTCACTCATTGGTCAGCAGGTTTCCCAACAGGCTATTGCCCAATTGATAGGGTATTCGAAGTACCTAGGATTTAACGTCCTTATCTGAGAAGACGCGAAAGTCTAACCATTTACTGATGTCAATGTAAAGGTAGCAGCAGTTCCTCCTCAATTATTTTAAGACTTTGAGTACAGAGGTCCGACCAAGAAAAAAATTCTAGTCGCCGCCCGATCACCCTTATGATTGGGGTTCAGGGTTGCATCTTTTTACTGAAGCTGTTCTTGTTTATTAACTCTTTCTCGACAAGCGGTATCGCATTACAGTATACGATTCAATTGTTTCTAATGTAAATATCTTTAAACGAAATCTTCACAAAATAACCTTTCGAACGGGGGGCCAAATGCCTTCAAAACATTACACAAACCGAAACAATCATATATTTACTCACCGCTTGGCCAAACATTCTGTATTTCATATCGAGAAAAGTCGAATGTCTTCTAAACTTTTCGTTATTTTCTCAAAGGCTATATGAGTAAAATACTCTTTACGTTCAAGCGCTTTCGCGGAAAGTATCGTTTGAATATGGCGAGTAGAAATATTTTAGGATTGTTTTAGGGTCAGGCGTCAGTCAGGATTATCAGTCAATTCGATTATAACTGACCTTATAGGCATTTGTACCCCTGGTTCCGGGGCCTGGGGTAGGCAGTCCGTAATTTGACAAATGATTTTGCTTGCTCATTCCATATAGCGATGTACACCCACAACACTTATAGTGAAGGAGGAATGATTGAACCAGATCTACTCTCCCTTCTTCAAGATTTAAATCAACATGGCTATCTCAACAACACCTTACTTATAGTATTGGGGGACCACGGATCACGGTATGGCAAAGCACGTGCTGTACTACAAGGAAAACTGGAGGAGAGACTTCCACTTTTCTCGATGAGATTTCCAACATGGTTTAGAGATAAATTTCCCACTATTATGAAAAATTTAAAAATCAATACAAATCGTCTCACATCATGGTATGATGTTTATGCCACATTTCGTCATATGCTAAGTTACCCAAGCCTCCCATCCGACATTAAACACGGTCAAAGTTTGTTGACAGAGATTCCAATTTCACGTACTTGTGAAGAGGCTAATGTTGCCGAACATTGGTGCCCGTGCTTACGGTGGGAACCTGTGGATCACTCGTATACTCATGCGCAGAAAGCAGCACTTGCTGCAGTGGAGTACATGAATGGTGCAAACCTTGAACACCAAGAAAGTGCAGAGATGTGTCGAAATTTGTCGTTGAAGAGCGTAAATTATGCTCTATTAGAACGACCAAATGATAAACTTCTGTCATTTGCTAACACAAACGATTTACGTCCTGTGTTTAACCAGAGATTAAACCCTGCGCACCAACACATTTGCCGTTATCAAGTTCAATTCACAACCTCACCAAATAACGGCACGTACGAAGCCACAGTGAGATACCACAAGAGTTGGTTTATTGTTAGCAAAGGTATTAGTAGGATAAACAAATATGGAAATCAACCAGAATGCATTGCGAGACAACTGCCGCATTTAAGGAAATTTTGCATGTGCAAAGAAATTTCATCGAAACCACTTTATTATATGTTTTTCAAATGTACATAGTAGAAATATTTTATTGGAAAGAAATACTTTGTTAAAATGTTCATAAGTACTTTTATAAATGTGAAAGATTCGCGTAGAATTAGTACCGAAAAAACTTAATATAGAGTTCTTCCAAAATCTGTTCTCAAATATTGGTAATTGCTCAGAATTACTCATCCATTTCCCGTGACTTTTTAATATCCCGCATCCCGCCATTTCCCTCCTTTTGTTCCCTTTCTCGCTGGCCGCTGCCAAAATGTGTGAGTTGCGTCCAGCCGAATTTAATACCTTCAACCTTGTAACGTCTATAGGTTTAATCGTTATACCGAAGTATAGCCATCGCAGTTAGCGGCGCGCGGTAAACGGTTCAGGGGCGGCGCTAGACCTCTTTGAATGGGGGGGGGG